GAAGCGCATCAGTGCCCACTATGCGCGCGGCGCACGGGAGCTGACAGGGGGGCGTGCGCGAGCCTGTCGAGCTCTCCGGATCGGTACAGCACACCGAATGATAGCCACAGGCTGTCTCAGGCGGTCCACTGCCACACGTCTGCATCTTCAGCCTTGTCATGGATGTCGTGCCAGTCTCTGGGCGTGTCTACGCGTGTGTGTGTCTGTAAGTGTGCGTACGTGTGAGTCCGTGTCTGTCTTTGTGGTGGTGGTGGGGGGGGGGGGGTGCGGCGGAGGTGTCCTGTTGCCCAATAGGCGGTGGCGGTGGCGATGAGTTTGGCGAGTTTGGGTCGTCGTCCTCCGGCGGTCTGGTGGGAGGTGGGACGGGAGGAGCCGGCCTCATGGGAGGAGGCGGGATCGGAGGGGTGCTTGGAGGAGGCGCCGTCTTGGGTGGGGTGGGAGGGATGGTGGGAGGCGGGGTGGAAGGCGGGGTGGGAGGCGCACCCGCACCCGACGCCCTCGACGAGTTCGCGGGCTTCGACAGCGGCCTCGCCGCGCCCCTCCCCGCCCCGGCCTCCTCTGGGTTCGGAGGGCTCGGGCAGCTGCCAGCAGACATGTTCGGCGGGGGCGAGGAGGAGGCGCCGCAGGAGGCGGCGCCGCCGTCCGCCCCGGCGGCGGCGGGCGGCGGGTTCGGCGATTTCGGCGCCGCCGACGCTGGCGACGAGGACGATTTCGGCGGGTTCGGAGGCGTGGAGCAGACTGCCGCCGCCGCCGCTGCCGCCGGCGACGCGTTTGGAGACTTTGGCGCGGGTGGCGGGGCGGCACCGCCGCCGGCGCCGGCGCGGCTCTGCGCGGGGAGGGCTTCCGCGTGCCCCTCTCGCCCGCTCACCTCTCTGCCCTCCCTCTTCTTTTAGGCTGCGGCGGCCGACGACGGATTTGGTGACTTCGGAGGCGGAGGAGGCGGAGGCGGAGGCGGGATGTCGCTTCCTGCTGGCACGTTTGGAGGGGCGACAGAGGCGTTGGGCGGCTTCGCGATGCCGGCCGCTCCGCCCGCTTCCCTCCCCCCCTCCGGGCACAGCAGTACTCGAGATGGCCCGAGATTGCTCGAGATTGCCCGAGATTGCTCGAGATGGCTCGAGATGGCCCGAGATGGCCCGAGATGACTCGAGATGGCTCGAGATTGCTCGAGATGGCTCGAGATGGCTCGAGATGGCTCGAGATGGCCAGAGATGGCCAGAGACGGCCAGAGCTTACCCGCCCCTCTGTGCAATCTTCCACCGCACAAGAGCCGCGAGCGAGGCCTTGCCTCTCCTGACCGCCCGCCACCGCCTTACCCGCCTCGCGCTCTCTCGTCGCAGGGCGGGCTCGCTCCTCGCCGACGACGGCTTCGGCGGGTTCGGCACCTCGAGCGGGGGGGGAGGCCCCCTCGGAGGAGGCCCTACCGCGCCGTCCGGTCTGCCTGCCGACTTGTTCGACATGGGCGCCGCGCTGACGGCCCCGGCACCCGTTCCTCCAGTCTCGGCAGGGCGTTGGGCTGCCGCACGCTCTTCGATGCTCTTCGATGACCGCACGCTCTCGCCTGTCGAGTAGGCTACTACCGCAGCAGCAGCAGCCGCGTCGGACGGCGACGACTTTGGCGACTTTGGAGGGCGGGCTA